TCCAAGTTTCTGATGCCATAGCATTGCATAATCTGGACTACTTGAGGCAAAAGAGGCTTCTGCTTCTAGCAAAGTCTCTCCCTTCAGCATGTACAAGTTTGTTGCTATCTTTTTGCCTTTCATCACCAAAAGCACTCCACGGAACACCTTCATGATTCCTTTTTGTGTTTCAATCTTGCTTGCATTATTATCCAATAATCAGTAGGATAATAAATTTTTCTTCAGACATTTCACGTGTCGCACATCTCGAACAACTTTAATTGTTCCATCATACATCTTTAATTTAATGGTTCTCACGCCAACAATCTCTAAGGCATGATCATTGCAACTATACACAGATCCTCCTGAGACAGGTTCATAATGATGGAAACATTCTCTTCTTGAGGTCATGTGATATGTTGCTCCTGAATCAATGAGCCATATATCGGCAAATCTCTTTCTACCTTCCACGGTGGTTGACGCTTCACAACATAGAGCATCTCCATCATCTGAAGTGTTTGCAGTATTGCCTTATGGATTGGAGTTTTTATTTAGACTCCAACAATCCTTCTTCAAGTTACCCTTCTTTCCACAGTTGTAGCACTTCAAATTCTTCTTGCTTCTCGACTTTGATCTACCATGTTTGTGATTGCTACTTTGGCCACGTTCTGTTGATCTCCCTCTCATCGTTGTCAATGCTTCTGCTTGTTGCAGATTTACTTGTCTGTCTTCCTTGTTCTTGCGCCGATTTTCTTCTTGTAGAACAGCAGCTGCAACGTCATCGAAGACTAGACTGGTGACATTACTGTTTGTCAAGTTGATGATGAGTTGATCATATGAATCAGGAAGACTTTGAAGTAGAAGTTCATCACGTTCTTGTTCTCCTATTGTACATCTTAAGGATGTAAGCTGAGAAAATAAAGTGTTCAGCGTGTTTAAGTGCTCCATCACTGAAGTAGATTCTGACATCCGGAGAGTGTATAATTTCCTCTTAAGGAAAATTTTATTGTGCAACGATGTGGCCTCGTACAGTTTGGTGAGATGATCTCATATCTCCTTAGTTGTCTTATTCTCCTCGATGCTTGACAATACTCCATCTGCTAATGCTAGATGAACGTTTGTCATAACATTCTCGTCCATTTCGATCCAGTTTTTGTCATCTGTAAATCTATCGGCCTTTCACTAATAGCTGCTAGACAACCGTCTTTCCTCAGGATGGCCTTCATATTCAATTTCCACAATGAAAAATTTCTCCTATTGAACTTTTCAATATCAAATTTCATTTACATAGCTTCTATTACAGATAGCTTTCATTATTTCACTATCGTGAATAGTTCTTTGGAACCTTCAAAGAATGTGTAATACATTCTTACCTTCTTATGTTGGAGTATCCACCTTTTGGTGGCAACCACAAAGACAATAAGTATATATTACACACTCTAATCTGGCTCTTGATATCAATTGTTGCGGAATACGGCTATCTGATAGAGCAAAATCGCAACTGATAATTTGAGAAAATAAAATTGAAGATAAAGAAGACATAAATTTTACGTAGAAAACCCCTAAATAATATAGGGTAAAAACCACGGGCAACAGTAGAAGAATTTCACTATGAGAAAATTGTAATTATAACTTCTCTCGATCTAACAAGGAGAAAACAATGACAATTCTCTCTTGATAAAAAGGAAAAAACAATGACAATTCTCTCTTGATAAAAATGAGAAAATAACTCTCAAGAAAACTCTCTAATATTGGGAGAAAGCTAGAATGATTTGGGATGGTTTTGGAGCTAAATGGGTTATGGTATTTATAGTTGAATTTTAAAGACTAATCTTGTAAATACCCTAAAGTACATTGATTAAATGTGCAATTTTACCATTGTCAAAATCAACAAAATCGGTGCAACTTGTTTTTCCACAAAATCGGTGCAACTTTCGGTGGAATTCGGTGCCACCAATTTTCAACAAAATCTGCTATCTGTTTCCAACAGTGAACGCGAACTGATGATCCCCCACCACTTCATTGATACAACCCATTAATCTTTTAGAAAGCACCCGCGCCACCAACTTGTATAGGCTGCTCCCAAGCGAGATTGGTCTAAAGTCTTTGATCCTGATCCTTTCCGGATTGATCTTCTTAGGAATTAAAGTGATGAACAACTTATTGTTTTCCTCTATAAAAGTCGTTGAAAAAATCCACAATTTCACTTTTAACAATCTGTTAGTATTTTTTTGTGTAAAAATTAAAGTTAAACCCGTCAGGTCGTGGAGCTCTTGACCCATCAACCGAATTTAAAGCTAGCTAAATTTCTGCCTCCACAAAAGGAGTTTCTAGAGCTCGTCTAGAAGCCAACCCCACTCTTCTAAACTGCACGCCAAACTCCTTAACAGGAATTGAGTAGCTTTCATTAAAACTAGACCGAAAGTGATTCATAAAAGCTTCTGAAATCAGCTTCGAATTAGATATCTCGACATCCCCAACTCGGATAACTGAAATGTGATTTTTCCTCCCTATAATAGCTGCTGTAAGATGAAAGAATTTAGAATTCATATCGCATTCCTTAAACCACTTTAGACGCAACTTTTGCAACCATTCACGTTCATCTCTTCTACACCTCGCCCATAAATTCGCTTTCAGAACTTTGATCTCAGCTATAGTATCCGGATTTCCCCCATCCGCCAACAGTGAGCGTTCAAGCTCCCCTATTTTTGTACTCGATTTGAGACACAGAAACGGTCTCCTTCAACCTTGCTTCCTTTACCCATAACTCGGAGGCACTTTTCATCTCACACAGGAAATTGCCAAAACTTTTATTCCTACAACTGACAGTCACACTTTTGACCAAATCCGAGAAAACTTTATCGTCCACCCAATGCGAAAACCATTTGAAGGTACGTACGAGAGCTCCGTTTTTCATTCACAACCTTAAGTATCACTGAGTTATGGTCGGATAAACTTCTCGGGAGAGTGACTTGCAATAGCCTTGGAAATTTAAGAAAGATCTCAGGAGAAATGAGAAACCTGTTAAGTTTGCCTGCTGAAGGCGACCCCCTTCCCTTGAACCATGTGAATTTGTTATCAGAAAGTGGTAAATCTACTAAATCCCTGCTCTGAATGAATTCTTTAAAATTCTCCAATGAGTTTTCATTCGAAACAGCTCTAACTCTCTCCTCTGCAACTATTATAGTGTTAAAATCCCCCTATTTTCGCAGGGCACCCCCACCGTTTCCAAATATTCACCGAGAAAAGTAAAACACTCTGTACCCATTTGGTGCGGAAACAATGCTCAAGTTTCCCATTGTAAGCTTACCCTCCAAAGCCACAAATCTGGAATTAAGATGCTTGTTTTCCACGATAAACCAATGGGTCATAATTTTATATGGAAGAGTTTATGTTGTACCAAAGCTTACCCTCATGTATATACGTCTTTATAAGGTCATAATTTTATTCCCTTTTCCCAATCAAGGTTTGGTAAATATAGGGGCACGTGGTGATGAAAATGTTAATTAGGGAAATATAAATCGTAAGGAGTTATTCAGGGAAATATTATGAATGTTTTAATAATCTCCAAATACGCCAACAACTTTGCTCCAATATTTTTTTCTAATTTTCAAGACCAAATTAAAAGAAAACTAAAAGTAGATGGAATAAATTAAAGAATTTTAAAAATTGACCCTATAGGTGAAATGATGAGTATAAGGAAGGAATTTAATTATATTGTTATGTGAATTATAATCATATAATAAAACTTTGCAATCTATGTTCTAGTATCTAATCAAGTGATTTTTTTAATTTACATAACTTTTCGATGATTCGAATGGCCATCATTTTCGTCACGAAAAACTTTTAATTTTTTTCAATTTTTTGTTTTTATTAATTCTAATCTTTGGCTTACATTCTTTTCAATCTGTTAGACTTAAAAAACTTGCTTTTTTTAACAAAAATATATTTTTAATTTAATGCAATATTTCTAAAAATAATCGTTTTTAATCCATGTAATTATAATTTTCTTTCAACTTGAACTTTATGTCATCAACTCCGGAAATGTCATTGCAAGTTAAAAATCAGCATACATTATTTTTCAAGCTTTCTAAGTTTTTTTTTCATTTTGGTACCTATAATTTTATTTTTTTTTCAAACAAAAATATGATTAGAGGCCTTATACTCAATGTTTCACTTAAATGGGTCAACTTTTAATTTTTTTTATTTTGTTCCATTTATGTTCAGTTTCTTCCAAGTTATCTAAATGGTTAAAAGGATGGTTGTTATCTCTAAAAGTCTCAAGTTCAAACATCAAAGACTACAAGGGTGTTTGAGCTTTTATTGTCAAATGATTGATAATCTTTAGAACATATACTACTTTATAATTACCCTAGATTAATAAAAAAAATCAAAGTAATCCACGTACGAATTTGACATATTCAGTTACAATTACCAACGACTTTAGGTGTTATTACAACATTCAAAATATTTCCCAAATTAATTTTTCATTCATGATATACTCTTAATTTTGTTATATATAATATTTGACTATTAGTATATATCCAAATACAAAATTTTCATTGGATCGAAAATAAACAAATCGATTCCATTTATAATCTTAAGGTAAAAAAAAAGCTTGAAAAATAGATTCTTTGAAGAAATATTGATTGTTAGAGACTTTTTTTTTATAATGTTGTGATGAATATAAGGCCGGATATGTTTAAAGCTCTTAATTATTTAATAATAAAAGTTCATATTCTTAGCATAAGCGACGTACAGACTAGACCTCAAGAGATAATAAAAAATCTTAATCATTGGCAGAACATCGGGGGCAAGGGAAGCCTTAGCCCCCGTCAATTTTTTTAATTATTAATTAATATTAAAAAAATTATATTTTTCAAAAATAAATAAAAATTTTACCAGTTCCACTCAATTTAAAAAAAATTACATTTATGAAAAATAAAATATATTTTAACCCGTTATAATAAATTCTTAATTCCGCTCTTGTTTTTAACCACTAAAATCACTTTATTCGTGTTGGTTATTAGAGACTTGAATACAAGAAATCATTGAAATAAATCCAACCATGTTGTTACAGTTTTATTTTTCTAGTCATTTGATCAGAAGGAAAATTAACAAACCTACCTAATAAAAAGGAAGTAATTGAAGTGAAAATTAAATAAAGGGTAAACTACATAAATCGTCACTAAGTCATTTTTGTTTTTTCTACTGAAATTTCAATAGTAACAAATTGATCACTAACGTTATCGATTTATAATAGATCGGTCACTCGACCATTAACGGCCATTACCCCAATCACAGAAATTGGCTGAAAACGCGAGTAAGGATTTCAACACGAGTAAGAATCTTCAAATAAAGGGTAATGGTTGACATCTAAAGTTTAATCACAGAAAATCCATGCTGCATAGAATGGCATATACACTACCATCCAAAACCTACCGAATACTTCCAATTTATCTTATTTTTTGACACAATCCAAACATAATTCAACCTACTCGATTGCAACCATAGCATGATGATAAAAGTTGAGTTGCAACAAATACCAAATACTTTAGTCGGATACATAAATGCAACTTGGAAGAACAAGACAACTATTCATGGCATGCAAATGTATTTAGTTAATGGAGATTATTAGCATATATGATTTATGCTGCTGCAGAAACAGACCCAAATCATCTTTGTTAGAAGTGCACAGGCAATTCTGAGATGCAGTTCGGTAATTTTAAACTCCCATGATCTTGATCTCAAAAGAACATTTTCATACAGCAACCTCTAAAAAGATTTCAGATCAACCACCAGCTTTCTCTTTGCTGAAAAATGCATCATAACTATAATAACTATGGTAATCACCTTCAAACAGGGTTTCAAATAGCGGTCCGCTATCACGATAGCATCCAATAATGTCCGCTACGTTCGTAATAGCGCCTGCTATGGCCGCAGTCCTGGTAAAAACGAAATGGCCGAAAACGTGACCGCAGCCGCGATTTGAAACCCTGCCTTCAAAGGCCAATCGCCACACTTTAAGCCATAAGAAATGATAAAAATGAAGGGGTATTTCAATACTTTTCAGATACTTCATACCATGTCTATGGTACTATTGCTGCTGAGAATGTCATTTTTTTTATAAAATGTATGTATTAAATCCAAAGAAAACAAAGCAGCAAGCTGCAACAATCAACAAACCAACCAAACCAAAACCTATAATCCCATACTATACAGCCCAATACAGTCCCTGATGTAGTCTTCGTGTTAGTTTCACCTGCACAATTTCCTCAATATAACCAAATAATTCCTCATCATTTCTATACAACTTTCTAAAGTTTCTTCTATTTCTCTCTTCCCAAATAAAATATATATATAAAAGCATTCTAAGTAATCTTAAACATAAAAGAAGAAATGGAATTACCCTTCCCTTTTGAAAGTGCCCACTGCAACTCATTTTCCCAACCGAGGCTCCCACGCCCGCACTCCCCACAAAGCCAAAATGGTCTTCCAAACACTTACCGAAAAATTACATTCAAATAACATGTGATTTCTAGACTCCAATGTTACTCCACATAAAACGCAGACACCCTCCAACATTATACCCATGCGTCGCAACCTGTCTTTAGTAGCCAGTCGATCCAGCAACACCAACCAAGAAATAACAGCATGTCTAGGAATGTGAAGAGGAAACCATACCAGCTTCTGCCATGGAACCGTATTCCCTTTCACCCTCAGCTCCTGCCAAATCCACCTTGTTCGAACAGGGGCCGAACCAGTAGTTTCAAACAAGGGCCTCGCAATCTCCCTAAGTGAAAGAATCTTCCTTAAACTCCAGGTAACCCAAGCTTTCGAGACAAAACTCCAAACATCAACCCCTTTAAGAGAAAGAATGTAATCTTATAGGTGCCAAAAGTGGCATTAATGACTAGCATCCATGAAGAACAGTTATGGGCTTCAATATTTTGTTCTTCTGAAAAACACATGCATATTATTTCTAATAATGTCAGCCAAGATTAGATTTGAAGTATGTTTCTAAAAAGAAGAGTCAAGTAACATAGATGCTATGTATATGATTAAATGAAGGAAGATGATAGCTGACCACACACTCAAGGTGAGATTTTCATATGGAAGCCCATTCTGTTGCTTTATGACAAGTGACATTTATGTGTTTGAGAGAGCATATAAAGTTAGTTTGAAAATATTTACTGCGTTACGCATTTTTAAATGTGATGTAACTTTTGGGGATCCATCCTTAAGAAGGAAATTCATTTTTAATATTCCTACCAATGTCGAAGAAAATATCCTGCAAATTTCAAAGGAAACACCAAAAAGATCAGCTATTCGTTCCTGAGTTTCCCCACTATTTGTGTTGCTTTTTATGCATTTTTTTGTACATCAGACTTATCGGAAGGTTCCCAGCCCCGGTAGAGATACCCTGCAACTCTCACTTTGATCCATAAAAAAAAATTATGGAGAGAGTGAAAGTGGTTGTTCAAGGACGATTTGACTAAAGTGACATCTTTAGTCAAAATTTTCCTTTCTAACACCCTGACTAATATTTCATAAAGTAGTATCCTTTCGATTGAGGTGGCACAAAGGCGCATCTTCGGGACGTGTTTTATCTGGTTTTTGCTTACTGGGATGCCCGCGTGTAAGGCGCATCCTGGGGATGCATTTTATATGGGATCTATTAAGGCGGATGCCACGCTGATATTTTTTTAATAATAAAAAAATTATTTTTATTGTTTTTATAAATTATTAATAAATTATGTAAAGTGTTTCGGTTATAATTTAAGAATTATCGAATGTATTTTTTAAATGTGTGTTAAAGGTGGAGTGAATTTAGGTTTTAGTGTTATATATTTCAGGGACTTTGGCATTTACCCATTCCACGTGACATTAATCAGATGGAACAATAGATCAAAACCAGCTTTGATCTTATTGTAATTATAGGAAAAATGTATGAAATTATAATATTACACGTATGGTTATATATCTATTATTTTTTTATTTTGATTATCGATCTATTAATTTTATCACTTAATTATTTAAATGTTATCAATCTAGTCATATATTATCAATATTTAATGAAAATATTGATGCATAAGTTAATAAAATTAGTATAATTACACATTTAATCTTCAATACTTACATATTTTATCAATTTAGTCTTACTTTTAATTTAATTTAATAAATTTAATCCTACAATCAGAACATGAAATGTGTCATCGTATACATAAATTTTTTATAACTTTTAATTTGTTTAATTTAATATTTTTTCTTTACGTAGAAGGTTGAATTATTATAATATTTAAAAATTAATAATTAATTTTTTATAATAAATAATATTAATTATTATATTAAATAAATGTAATAAAATAATTTTTAAATAATTTTTTTAAATTATTTAGGTGTACATACATTGAGAAATTATACAAAATGCAATTATATTTAAATATTAGAAACAAAAACATTCATTTAAATAGAATATTAATTACATAAGGGTTAATGGTTATGTGATGATAATAGAGCTGTACATTTTTTTCTATTGTGCCCGATGTTTCTACAATGCCCACATCGTTTTTGTTCTGTTGACTTCTCCCGAATATCCATATCACAATGTATTCTAGTAGATTTTGGACGACCTGAGTCCCTCAATAGCAATGGATCTGATACAATTGTAAGCAAGTTTGAATCTCATTTGGGTCTCTTTCGTTTCCTATGGGCGGAAACTCAAATTCATATACCTTAAATACTTGTGAAAGTTAGTGTACGTGATCAATATAATTTTTGTAGTCTAAATGCGAATGTGAGCAAGCTGCAATGGCATGATAGCATGAATATTTGAGTGTTTGAAAGAAACCACAATCGCACCACCTCTTTTGCATATTAACTCTGAAAGAGTTAGGTTCAATCCCTTGCAGCGGGCGTGGCATTTCGGTAACACGAAACAATTCACGGGTGCGAGAAAAATTTGTAACCAACATCCCATTTGATGCAGCCACTTTTTTCTGTAAATCAGCTATTAGTCTTGGGTGGTAAATATAGTCGTTTTGCAACCAAGTAAGAGCTTGTCCACCGAGCTTTGCAAAGAGTTGACCCAAACCAAAATAAGTCGTTTTGACCAACGTCGTGACTGGTAAATGACGCGCCCCCTTTAAGGTTGAATTTATTGCTTCAGCCAAGTTGGTTGTCATATGACCATAACGATACCTCCCGTCATACGCATTTGTCCACATTTCTTTGTTGATGTCATAATGTACTCGCACCCCTTCTTATTTTTGCCAAATAGCTCTTGTAGCATAGACTCAAACCTTTGAGGTAAGAGTTTGTAACCTAAGCCATTAGGAATATGTAATAGTTAATATGAAGTATAAATAAGTAATACGAAAATGATAGAAAAATTGGGAAAAAGTAACATACACATCCACACGACTAACTGACATTCATCGTTCTTGTATTTTCCGTAATAGTTTGCAGCAATATGAAGGACACAATAACGATGTTGAACATGTGGAGGCCTATACATTGTACCCAAAGACTCCATTGCTGCTTTTATCTTGGCTCTTCGGTCTGAAATAATGCTTACTGGTTCCCTGGTGACAACATGTAAACGTAAATTTTTAAGGAAAAAAGCCCAGGACTCAGTGTCTTCTCCTTGAACGAGGGCAAACGCAATAGGAAGAATATTGCGGTTTCCATCTTGGACCACAACCAATAATAAAACTTGCTTGTATTTTCCATACAAGAAAGTACCATCAATTTGGACAACTGGTTTACAGTACTTGACTGTATTAATACACTGAGGGTAAGTCCAAAAGACACAGTAGAATTGGCAGCGATCGCGAACCATTCGATCATTCACGTAATGATGTTGAGTTTTGAACTTAACAATTGTCCTGGGATTGAGTCTTTGCATAACATGAAACCAACTGGGCAGCTCGTTGTAAGAGGAATCACATTCGCCATGGAGTTTGCAAATGTCATTCTGTTTTGTCAACCAAGCTTTTTTATAGGAGATGGTGTACCTATATTGTGACTGTATAGCAGAAATCAACACTGCAACAGCTATATGAGAGCTTTGCTTCACAATGGGCATGATTGCTTGGCAAATAAT